TGATCGGTGGCGGAATCGGACGCAGTTGACTGGTATACCGTTATCTTGCATCAACGCGTGCCACCACGCCATACCATTTGTGACATGGTTGTGCGAACGCTACCCGAAGAACGCCTGCCGTACATTCATCTGTTCCCTGTCTTGACTCAACCCATCAATCAAACGGTATGTTTTAGGTTCGTAACAGTTCTTAGCCTCTCCTTCAAATACACTAACATATTTTGAGCCTGGCCGTTACGTGGATTGACTACGTAGTGCCACGAACAATGTCCCCGCAACGCCGCCTGCCTCCGCTCGGATATTTTTTTAGCCACATCTTTTATCCCTTCCGTGGTGACGTTTGTGGATTCTCCCTGGCCCAGGATGACGCCAAGCGTCAGTCACTCCAGACTCTTAATAATGGTAGTACATGTCATGGGAGGCCTCCTTCTCAATAATTCAATCTAATCTTTGATTAGATTATTGACTCACTCGCCTCAAATCGTAAAACTGGGAAGAACTTAAACGCGTTAGCTGCCCAGTATGTGCAAGTATTGCGGAGCGTACAACAAATTTTAAATACATACAATAAGAAACAAAACAGGTGAACCTCTTCGGTCAGGTGGCATCTGCGAAACTAAAAATTACTAATTGTCTTAAACGCATACAGGAAGACAGCACTGCAGCTACTGCAACGACAGAGTAAGTCTTTGCCCACCTAACCGAAACACAGAGCGGACTTCGCGGCAAGCAAAGTGTCATCTTCGTTCGCGGACAGCTGCGAAATTAACAGAAGCAAACTGGTGTCGCAGCAAACACAAACCTTGGAACGCATGGCTTTAGCGCAGATATCTCCATCTCTACCCTCCTCGTCCTCCTCATCCCCCAAAACAGAGGAGCTAGAGTTTTAACAGGACACAGGCAGGGCCAAATAACTCCACCTTTGGCCTGAAAAATCATTTCTGCCAGATAAAATTCCTACACTTGCATAATGAGAACTGTGTTTCGAACCGTGCAAACTTCTTTCTGTCATCTCCCAAACGTCTTTTGAAGAAAGCCAACGCCCGGAAGAATGGAAGTGGACTTTAGTCACACCGACCTATGAGGGAGGTTCACGACTTGATTGCGCAAATTATTTTCCTGTATTTCTAACTTGTGTCGCGGATAAAATGATGGAGCGCATTATTAAGAGGCATCTAATGAGATTCTCAAAAGGTAATGCGATGGTCAGTACGGCTTTTGTCCAAGACGGTCTGGTCTTACGAGTGCTCGTTACTCGCATGAGAAGTGGACACAGGCTACGGATAAGGGCTATCCAATTGATGTTATATTGTTGACTTCAAGAAGGTCTTCGATAGTGTACCACACAGGCCTCTTCTACAGAAGATTTGGGACATGCGACTTCAAGAATGATGACGCAAAGTCGTTGCAATCGAACATCGATAAACTGACTACCTGGTCGTCCACGTGGCTTCTTCACTTAAATGTATCCTAGTGTCTGGTCCTACATATAAGCCCTGGTCGAAAAGTGTCGCAGAAACATAGTTATTTTATCAATGGCGTCGCATTAAAAGATGTTGATACGCACAAAGGTCTAGATATGCAGACAACCGTAAACTTGATGCCACCCAAGCACTGTGAAAAGGCCGTCCGGAAGGTATTACAAAGCTGCACTGGCTGAGCCGAGCGTTCAAAATTTTCTCATCTGAACTACTCGGAAAAAATATTTAGGACTTTTGAGAGACCAAATCTTGACTATGGAATGCCAGTTTGGCCACCGTGGTTGAAAAGAGATGTGGGCCTTCTCGAAAAAGTGCAACGGAGGACGACTACCTCTGTAAGGTATCCACCTCCGATTGCGGCCTCAGAACAACAACTTCAGATGGTCACTCGCTGTACTCTGGCTCAAATACGCAGTGACTACTCAATGGTCCTTCGCCAGTAACAACACCGGCTTGACCCGTCCAGACCCGACTGCTGTTCCGACTGCGGCATATCTCCGCATGACTGTCAGCAGTCGCCTGCAGTTTCCGGCCAGGCACCCAAATCACCCCTATGGACCTTTGGCTTAAGCCGGCTGAGGTAGCGCCTTTTGTCCCTCTTCCAACTGCACCCAGTTTGGACTCCGGCGGGGACTTCGGATTCAACAATGGGCTGCTAACCATCCAACTTACTTTTGTAAAGAATACACAGCTCCTCCAACCTGACGTCCCCCTTCTTTTCATCCTCTACGGAATTGGGCCTGAAGCTAGCAGTTGCATGGGTCTTCCCTATTAAATTAACCAAGTGAGGTACTGGTGGTCGCGACATAAGCTAAAC